AAGGAGTAAGATCAGCGGACTCCAAGAACCCTTTGAAAATGTACAGTTCTACATGGGCTTTTTCTCCACTTTAGGGGGAAAGGTGAAAGTATTCATAGCAATCAACAGATTCACCAAGGCAGTGGTCTCCAAACTTTTAATGCATCTATTTATAAATTGCACACACATATGCACACACACAAAGATCTACAAACTTTTTGAAGTACCCTCAAAAAGGTGTGTGTTTGTGTTGTGTGTGTGTGTAGACTTCTATGTAGTCTATGCAACATAAACAAAATTAGCATCTAAAAAATAAAAGTTAAATATAAATAAAATTCTAAAATTTTATTTTTTTATTTCCAATGGCTCTTCTTGCACAGTCCACTTGACTCCTGCTCTAAGGTGCCCTAACATTAAAATTAAGAAATTGAAAAACACCACTGATGGGGAAAAGAGGGTAGAAAACTTCTACGAAGTTATTAAAACTACACTTCGAATGAAAATGAGCAGAGGCCAACCACAAAAATCCTCAAAGTCACTTCCAGAAAGCTTTTCTCTGAAAATGAATTTGGAGTGTTTCCATTTTAAGACAAAGAAAAAAATGAAACTGAACAACATGGTTTCTACACATTTCGGATAATCTACGTTCTATTTTTATCTTCAAATTGTCTTCTTCTGTATTATTATAAGCCACTAAAAAATCCTTTAATGTATCTGTAAGATATAAATTCTCTCAAAAAAATTTAAATTTTAGAAAAGCTGTCTGTCTAAAAGGGATCCTATGCTCCCTTTTCTCTTATTCTAAAATTGGAGGTATCACAAAATTAAAAATATTTACTCGAGGTAAATTGTGTGCCAACCGCTTTAACAGTGAGTGCTTCGGCAGTACATTCAGTTCTAAAGTTAGTCATTTTCAATATAGTTTTCCAAGCATAAAATTTTTTTCCTCCAATTCTACATTCTCAGTTCTAGAAAAATATTTATCCTGTCACTTTCCCTTTTACCATATAGTAAAAATATAAAGATAACTAGTCGATAATTTGTTATTGACAATTAGTCAATGCAACTAAAATGAAAAAGATCCTTTACACGC